AGTTGTTTAAAAAAAAAAAAAAACTGAAGTCCTGGGAGCTCTGCAAAGACAGGAAAGACTGAGGAACTCAGATCCCAAAGAGAAGGGAAGTCTACAGACATGAGTTCTAACTACATGGAGAGCCAGGTTTTGCTCTGAGGTTTTTTCCAACTACAGAGCTTCTCTGGTGAGAAGTTAAGAGGAGCTTTCAGAATTCCCAGAGTCTTAAAAAACAAAAGAAAAAAGAAGAAGAAGGAAAGAAAACATAGTTGAGGACCTGCAGATGCAGAAGGGCACTGGTAAACACGTCAACTCTGTCCCCCCAGAATTCAAGTCCACGTGGAGCCCCAGAATGTGACTATTTGGGGGAAGGCTCTAGGCAGATGTCACTAGTGGAAAGGCGGTCATACGGGACCGGGGAGGGGGAGGGCGCCTAGTCTGATACAACTGGTGTCCTCCTAAGGAGAGGAGGGGACACAGGGACAAGGACACAGAGAAAGAAGGCCACGTGAAGACAGAGGCCGAGACGGCAGTGGCAAAGCTACAGGACGAGGGACGGCAGGGACTGCTGACCAGCACCGCGTGCCAGGAACACATCATCCCTCAGAGCCTTGCAGAAGGAACCAACCCTGCTGACACCTAGGTTTTGGACTCCCGGCCTCCAGACTGTGAGAAGGGAAATTCTCTCTCTCTTGTTTTGAACCACGCATGGTGTGCAAATTTACCATGGCAGCTCCAGGAAGCTGATATAAGCTGGAAACCCCAAAAAACTACACCCTGGAAATACACGGGCCGTCACAAATACTCAAGCCCAGGTGTGAACCGGCTTGATCCCTGACTGGACTAAATGGATCTCCCTCTGCCCTAACTGTCTGAGAAGCAACAGTAAATCCTCTCTGGAGAAAGAGAACACCATCCCAAACTTCAAAGTATCTCTACTCTTGTTCATACACAACATCTGGCATTCAGTCAAAAATAACCAGATACTGTGCAAACACAAGAGCGTATTCAAAAACAGAACAAAAACAGAAAATAATGGACTTTTGGCTACAGCCCGGTGAGAAGGTTAACAAATCCTCGCCCTGAAAGCAACGATAAAGCTGGACAAATCTGACACAAATAATGGTTCTGCCACTCCAGAAACTGGCTTCAGTGGCTTACAACCTGGGAGCGGTTTACTCTTGAAAACCGTTGAACTTCTGATAAGAAGAGGGGGAACAGTACTAGCAGCTCAACGATAAATGGTGGCCAACATGCCATCTCGAGGGTCAGGGGCCACAGGGAGGGGTGCAGACTGCAGTGGATGAAGCACTTCTGACCCACAGACAGAGGGCAGGGGTGCTGGGCCTCCAGTAGAGTCAACTGTCAACGTGGGCCCAGAGGCACAGGTCCCCAAATTCAAGAAAACCTACACACCCATATCTCCACATAAGATCTCATAATTTTTCAATGTTGAAATCTTAAAAACAAATTTTTAAACACACTCCACAAAGGACTTCCCTGGCAGTCCAGGGTAAGACTTCACCTTCCAAGGCAGGTGGTGCAGGGTTCAAGCCAGGTCAGGGAGCCTAGATCCCATGTGCCTCGGGGGCCAAGAAACCAGAACATACACAAAATAAGTAGTATTGTAACAAATCAATTAAAAAACACTCCCTTCGAGGGCACCGACTTCCAAATTCAGCCCTATAAGCAGCCTAACCCCCAACAACCAAACGCAGCAGGCATGCCCCTGGTAGACTCTCAGTATTATCCCACTATTGTGATTTCCAACAATGTCATTTTGTTCAATCATTACGCTGAAGTTCAGCTTTTCTCTCTTCATTTAGAAACAGAGCTAATGCAACAGACTTGTGGATTAATTTACCATTACTCATTCTCTCCTGTCATTTTCAATTCAGTTAACGGAGCTGGAGAGGTCCACAGAAGGGCAATAACGGGCATCAGGCCGGCTGCCCGAGGATGCGGGGAGCAGGGAAGAGCCAGGAATTTTACATGGGTCTGACCTGGGCTTGAATCCTCAGCTCTGCCATTTACCAGCTGTAGACGGGAACTTGGGCAACTTATTAACTAAGGAGACTCTGTATCATCGTTTGAAACGCAAGGACACCATCACCTACGCTGGAAAGTAACTGGCATGTTATCACCGTGTACCAGCCCGGGCAGATCAATACCAAGGCCTCCAGCCCCCACCACAACCCTACAAGGCAGGTCCTGCTACGATCTTTATTTTACACAGAGGAAACAGAAGCTCAGAGAGGAGATGTCCCAGAGATCTTGTGTGTGACAAGTCGCGGAGTGGGGCTTTCAACCCTGCTTCCCGATCACTAAGCTACGCAGCAGGCCCAGCCCCGCAGCCAGGAGAGACAAGAGAGCCGGACAAGGCTCATTTCTGTCTGATCCATCTCTTAGGATTTCATTTTCTCCATTCTGCCTGGCAAGGCCATTCCAATGGCTTTAAGAACAACCATAGAAAGCCATTGATCCGATCTTTCCCAACTCTTAGCAGCTGAAAAAACACCTGCCCCCCTCCATGAGGTTTTTAATCAAACATTCAATGGCAGGAAAGAGGTTTTAATCAGCCAAGGACCATCCTGCACTTGTGAATGGTTAATTAATGCTGCCGACAATGATGACACAAGCCCTTGGCAGCCACTCAAGGGCGAAGCTAGTCTGGTCTTTGCTTCACGTCTAATCAGCCAGGAGGCTGTGCGGCACACACTCAGCAGAAACAAAGCCAGAGCCCACTCGCTCATCAGCATCTTTAAGACGCGAGGGTAGAAATCATGCTAAGATGCAGAGAAACAGTGAAGGCTGCTGATGCCTCGCAAATGCGTAGGTGCTTCTGTGATCACCAGGGCCAAGTAACAAAAAGACAAGAATTCTAGTCTGGATGGGAATAGAAAGAGCCATTCTTCATGGTCAAAAGGTCAGAGCTTCAAGAGGGGGTGAGATGGAAAAAGACATGAGATGTGTAAAGGGTATTTAGGAAAAGGTAACTGGTTAAACATTTGGCGGGGGGTGTGCGTGTCTCTGAAATGAAGCAGGTGCTTCACATGAGGTTATTATGTGAAGCCTCCTGACAACCCCCCAGGGAGACAAGATGCTCTGTCTTTACAAGTGAAAATGGAAGGCACAAAGGGGCATTTTCCCAGGGTCATGCCAGGCTTACCCTCGGAGTTTGACTCCAAAGCCACGGTTGCCTCTGCCATGCCCAGAACGGTCCAGAGCCTTGTGGTCCGTTCCACACCAGTTTCTCCAAGGAAGCTCCCCACAGACAGGTAAGAAGGAAATAAAAAGAAAGAGGGGCCAGCAAGCCGGGGGGGGGGGACTCTCGGAAAAGCCATGTCCTCAAATAGCCATCAATCAGCCCTAGATCACCTCTACACAGAGCTCAGGGAAGCGTCCTGGACATAAGATGCCACCTAGGGATTTCCCCGGTGGTCCAGTGGCTAAGACTCTGCACTCCCAAGGCAGGGGGCCCAGATTCAACCCCTGGTCAGGGAACTAGATCCCACATGTCCCAACTAAGAGTCTGCATGCCGCAACGAAGATCAAGGACGTCACGTGCCACAACTAAGATCTGGCTCAGACAAAATTTTTTTTTAAGTGCTACTGAGGCTGATGTTAAAGGTGGCCAAGGTAGCCAGCTGCAGGTTCTACGAGGACTGAGGCCCTCGATGCTGGCTCTTCTCTGAGCTGGCCTACTGTGACCTAGGGAGGCCAAAGAAAAATCCACAGTGATAGGAATCCTTCTTGCAGGCCCAAGAGGAGCCACATTCATTTCTGAAAAAGAGCAACTGGCAAGATGAACAGGATCAAAGACGTGCTGGAGGGCTGAGAGAAAGGGGAAGGGAGATATGCCCACATGGGTGAGAGGGAAAGGCAGTCGGCAGAGAACTTCCAGACGGCTCTGCCAAACACGGCCGGGGCTGATTTCTCAATGTGAAAGGAGGCAGAGGAGCAAAGGTGATACGTTTTACTCAGCAGGGACACTGACATCACAGCAGCAAGATTCAGGAATTCACGGTGGCACCCACAAACAGGGTCTTAAAGGACCTGCTCTTCAAAATCGGGGCTGTGGGGGGTTTTTATACAACATGATACACTTCAAAGTTCAGATCCAGGGACATCCCTGGTGGTCCAGTGGCGAGGACTCAGTGTTCCCAATGCAGGGGGGTCCCAGGTTCGATCCCTAGTCAGGGAGCTGGATCCCACATGCCACAACTGAGACCCAGCACAGACAAATAAATATTAAAAACAAAGAAGTTCAGATCCCAGCAGAAACCAATATTGCAATTGTCCTTCAATTAAAAATAAAGTAATTAAGAAAAAAGAAAAAAAAGAAGTTCAGATGCAAAGCAAACCATTGAACAAATGATGGCTGCACCTCAGAGAGCACAGATGAAGATCCTGACCACTCTCAGCGCTGTCCCGTGAGCTGAGTGAGTTAATTTATATGAAAGACTAACAACATGCCAGGCTGACACTAAGGACCCATGGGTGCTAAGAATTATCATTAGGAGCATCATTCCTGTCACTCAGAGACACAGGAGCACAGGACAAGGGAAATGCTGTGACAGCTTTAAAATGGATGGTGGTAGAATTCTAAGCTCAGAGATCTGCCTGATTTCTGTCACTGTTACTGAAGACAGATTTAATTATGAAATGCTGTGCTATCCTTGTGCATCAAATCAGAACAGATTATTCACTTCTCAGCAATTGCTACACCACTCTGGCAAAATAAGCACCTCAGTGGCAGGCCCCCCCGAGTCCCTTGAGACCACAACACGTGGCTCTGAGAATTCTGCACAAAGGGTGACTTCCTTTCAATTAACATGCCAGACAACACAGGTACTGACTGCCAGTGAGACATCCTTACCGTGGATTTCCGCATCACCACGGGCCTCCCGCCCCCAGCAGTCCCGCACAATGACTGCCTTGCTTGTTACTAAAACATAAATAAAAATTAAAAGGGCAGAGAGGAAGGGATATGCTCTGGGGTTCACCCGGCCGAGCAGTACCTGTTTCGGTTTTGCTGGCAAAGCCTGCTGCCTGTTTGATCGCGGCCGCCGTGAGTGCTAACCCTCGACTCCTCTTCAAGCCGTGCTGCAGGACGGCTTCAAACTGGGCACACAGACAGGTTACCCTGCAAGAGAACCAGTGACTCATCAGTCCACCCCGGGAAGGGAGAGAAACAACCAGGGTGGTGTCCGCATCTCCGGGGGAGCGAGTGAAGGAACACACTAAACACCAGGATTTACAGGCAGGGAGCTACATGTAGCTGACTCCCCACCAGCTCTCCCCATCTATGTTCCTTTCAGGTTAACTCCGGGCAGCCCCACGCAGTCCAGCCCCTGTTCATCAGACTGGTGAAAGCACAGTAACAATTCACAAGAGACAAGGGGAAATGGAATTGGTGCCAGCCAGGGGGAGTGGGGGGGTGGAAACCAATTTAAAAACAAATCAGTTGTGTGTAGGGAGGGGTTGGGTGTTAATTAGTATCCAATTCACAAGTTTCACCTCTAATTCATATCATGTCCTTTATGAAACAAGATTATCTTCTAAGAGATTGAATTCACAGGTCTGCCAAATTGGAAACATTGTGTAATTTCATGGCCTGTTACATACCCTGAAGAAATAATGTGAATTCTGATTCTTGTTCTTTATTTTGTTGTTAAGAGATTACATTGTTGAAGGCAGATCTGGAGTTGATGGAATTTTCAATTAAGTTACAATTACTGTGGATTTAATTGAATTTATTTCTCAATAACCAAAGAAAGGGGAGATTCAGGACCATGTTCACAGAGATGAGGTCACCATAACCACACTCCATTCGTAACAGTCCTCCCAGGGCTCCCAGGCCCTCAGCCCAACTGGATCTGTGGACCTCAGAAACGCTTCCGTTTGTTCACTCAGGCAACAAATGTTAAGAAATCCTGAACTTGTCCCAGGCGCTGTTCTAGGCTCTGAGGATATAAAGGTAGGAGTGAGACAGGTAAGGTCTCTCTCTCTCCCTTAGCAGGGAGAGATTCACAAACAAGCCAAACAGATCCTATCAGTTGATGAGAACTTAGAAGGAAATAAAACAAGATGAGGTGGCAGATACAGCCAAGGCAAGAACAGGCTTAGATGGTGTGGCCTGAAGGGAGGTAACCCTAGAGTCATGACCTAGACTTGACAAGAGGCAGCAGGCTGGGCAGAGGGGTGCAGTGCAAAGACCCTGAGGCCACCACCAGCTGGCTCATCCCTGCCCAACTGCAGGCATTTCCTGCCCCACCCACTCCCACACCTGTAGTAATTATACTCCAAGTGTTTATCACTGTGGGTGGTAAACATTTTCACATCCATGATTTCACTAGCTCCTCCCATGATGATATGATTGGGGCAGGTATCATTACCTGCATTTTACATGTCAGGAAACTGAGGCTTAGAGATACTTAAGAGCACATATTAAGTATGTAATTAACAGCAATATCCGTACTCCATACCTACCCACTCCCACGCTATCCAAGGTAGTTCCCACTACACTCCATACCATGACAAACAAGCTTTATTCTAAGACAAAAGTCCACTTTCTCCCATATGCCACCTTTACTCAAGTGTTCTGTCTATACCAGGAACCCCTAACACAGTATCAGCAAACACACAGCACATGTATACTGACTCTCTAGTCTGTGCCTGTGGCAGACATCACTAATCTATCCCAGCATTCCAGGCTACTACTGCCAAGGATCAAAGTGAGCCCTCCAAAGGAAGGAGTCCCTTCTTGCATCCCAAACCTAACGCGTGTCCTCACCTACACTATTTGGCTGCCAACTCCTACTGGTCCTCCTGGGTCCCCAGGACCCAGTTCACTCAGAGCCTGGTACACAGCGTGTGCTCTGTATGTGCTTTTTCAGTGGGTATGTAAAAGGGTGATGAACCTTGGTCCCAGAAGACTCCCCCACATTGAAACAACCCTTTTCGCTGGGCAGATGTCACTCAAACATTAGATGTGCACATGCTAGTCTCTCTGTACATCCACAGGAGCACACTTCTGAGGGCTCCCTGTAAAGCCAGGACGCCCGCCAAAACTAAATCCCACAGAAACCAAAACAGAGGCATGATCAAATGGAGCCTGACCAAGGGCCCTGTCTCAGGGCGGTGGGGTGAGGAGGTGGAAGGAAAACCTTGCTCTGTGTTTAGAGGTCTCCATATTAAACCACAGCCTGTATCTTTAATCGAATCATCTGCAAATACAATGATTAACTCAACAATCCGAGTCAGGTTGTTTGGCTCCAATGCACAAGTCGAAAACTGCCCCGCCAACTCTATAATAACATCTGGCCTCTAAGGGGAATGGAATGCAGGGGAACAGCACTAACTCAGCTCCTGAGGTTTGGGTTACATCAGCAGTATTACCTTCCAGATGCACCTAGGTCACAATCAACCCAACACAGCAGAAAACCAAGGTGGGCGTTAGTCCTATAATTAGTTTATTACACAATGTCTGCCTTACTGAAGGCCATTCTATTTCTCACCCTCCCCATCTGACCTGAGCTTATATCTACAGGTCATTCAAGACTTAGTGCAAGGATCCCCTCCTCCAGGAAGCCTTCCTGAGTGCCTCCTCACGCTGCAGCACTTGGCCAATCTCTCTGTGAACAATCTGCTCTCCACCGCTGTCTCCTCTGGCTAACTCAAGTTCCCTGACAGCCAGGAACTAAGATGCAACTGGCATCTTAGTTGCTCCAGCACCCGGCAAGATGCCTGGCTTCTGTGATACATGTGACCAGAATTGTCCCTCCCCTCGAAGAACTCAGAACATGGACTTGATGTCTACTTAGGTAAGGGGGGCATCTCTGGAGATCTGGTATAAGTTGGAATCCAGGTCAGTTAAGACTAGGGAACCAAAGAGAAGACCTTTGTCCAACCACAGTAACCTACACCCTTCATCTTGTGGTGGGCGTGCTATGGGTACTGACTTATAATCATGTCACCTGAAGGTGTTCCATTTCTTCTCATCTGACTCAGGGCAAGATGACACTTCCTGCAGAATGAAAGGGGCGCCTGCTTTCATGGAGCTCACTGGTTTCTCAGCCCAGTCTCTCCTATTTTCCAGAATGCTTTCCACTGAGTGCTCTCTGAGACCCATGTTGGGGGTAAGGGGAAGGACCGGCTGCCTCCAAGGCATTTTCTCACATCTATCTAAGTTAATGAAGTGGCCATGTTTTTAATTAAGCAGGGCACTTAACAGTGGATGTTTTAATTTTTTTTAAAAAGCACCAGCCAAGAAAATCACTTCAAGTTTTTATGTATACAGCTATTTACCAGATGAGTGGATAAATAAAATGTGGTATATTCATACATGCACGTGTGTGTGCTAAATTGCTTCAGTCATGTCCGACTCTGTGTGACCCTATAGACTGCAGCCCACCAGGCTCCTCTGTCCATGGGATTCTCCAGGCAAGAATACTAGAGTGGGTTGCCATGTTCTCCTCCAGGGGATCTTTCAAACCCAGGGATAGAATCTGTGTCTCTTAAGTCTCCTGCACTGGCAGGCAGGTTCTTTACCACTAGTGCCACCTGGGAAGCCCCTATATTGACACAATGGACTACTATTCAGCAATAAAAAGGAATAAAGTACTGACACATGCTACAATGACAAGCCTTGAAAACGCTATGCTAAAGGAAAGAAATCAGACCCAAAAGCCATGCACTGTATGATTCCATGAAATGTCAAGAAAAGGTAAATATATAGAAACTACAAGTATTGGGTTGGCCAAAACTTCTTATGTGAAAGTGAAAGTGACTCAGTGGTGTCTGACTCTTTGCGACCCCATGGACTGCAGTCCATGGAATTCTCCAGGCCAGAATACTGGAGTGGGTAGCCCTTCCCTAACATCTTATGGAAAAACCCAAAAGAACTTTTTGGCCAACCCATTACACTAGTGCTCGCCTAAGGCTGGAATCGGGGATTCACTGTAAACTGGCATAAAGAAACTCTTTGGGGTAATGAAAATGTTCTGAAACTGAACTAGGGTGATGACTGCACAACTCTATAGATTTACCTTGAAAATTTCACCGCACTGTACATGTACAAGGAGTAGATTTTTATGGTAAGTAAATTAGACTTCAATTAAGCTGCTTAAAAAAATAATAATAAAACTTGCCCTCAGGGTGCTCAGTAAAAGCTTGATGAAGGAGTGAAGGAGTTAACGAGTGGAAAATGAAATAACCTTCTCCTGCTAAAACTGTCTCACAACACCACCACCCGCACAGCTGGACTTTGCACGAGCTTAACTGCTTTACTGCTAAAATTCTGCAGGCACTGGTTCTCCTGAGCTGCGTCCTATATTTCAAGACTGCTTAACCTGTCACATTAATCTTTAATAAGAATCCTGTATTGTTTTAACCTCTGAGCCACCAGGGAAGCCCTAGAATCCTGTACTTTTTTATGGCAACTATGAGACATTTATGGTGAATGTGAGACAGACAGGATCAGTAATAAAAGCTGCATTTTAAGAACCACATCAAATTAACCTGGTGACAGAGGGCATAACTTCAAACTAATCCTTTCACTGTGTTACAGCTTTATTGGAATGTTTTGGTGAAGAGCAAGTACAATAGTGAAAATGGACTGGACTGTCCTCATGTGGAAAGCTCCAAAGTCACCTAGAACAGAGTGATTGTACCCAAAAACAAAAAAAAACAGTCATTAACAGCATTAGCCACATCTCAGATTTAAGGCAGTGCAATCAACTAGCCTTGCTACAGCAAGGCCATCACATGACAGTCATTTGAAATGGGCCATGCCCTACATTTGTGTGTTAAAATTTTTCAGAAAAGTGCACATCCTTTTTGGCTGAATTTTACTAGCACCAATCAATCCTCAACAGTAATCTCTAAGTCAGATAAAGATTTAAGACTGAAAATATTCAAAACATCCTTTACAACTGTGGAAAGTTAAAAATACATAAAGATTTGACACTTGGGGAACTGGTTAAATGATAATACAACATATAATCAAATGCCATTTAGCCTTTAAAATATTTATCAAGAGTTTATAATGATAAGCCAACAGGTTTATAACATGAAATGAAACTTAAGCAAGGTTTGAAACTATATATTAAGTATGTTTTCAACTATGCTAAAAAAAAATTGAAG